TTGATTCCGCAGAGGAAGAGAAATAAAGAAAGGAAAAGAGAAAGAAAGAAAGAAAAAGTTAGCGACTTTACGTCGTTAAGAACAAACTTCTCTACATGATTCCCTTTGTAAAAACGCGAGTAGATTTTTTATATTTCTCAAAGTATTCTCAACTGGCAACCTTTTCAGGTCAGATACGCATGACAATGGCTCTGTTCTTTACAACTGTTTTAGTTGCCTATTTTAATTAGAAAGTAAGCAATCACATACAGTAAGTAAGTAAACACACATACTGTATAAGTAACTAAAATAAAATTATATATATAATTTTATTTTAGTATATATATATATATAATTTTATTTTAGTTACTTATACAGTATGTGTGTTTACTTACTTACTGTATGTGATTGCTTACTTTCTAATTAAAATAGGCAACTAAAACAGTTGTAAAGAACAGAGCCATTGTCATGCGTATCTGACCTGAAAAGGTTGCCAGTTGAGAATACTTTGAGAAATATAAAAAATCTACTCGCGTTTTTACAAAGGGAATCATGTAGAGAAGTTTGTTCTTAACGACGTAAAGTCGCTAACTTTTTCTTTCTTTCTTTCTCTTTTCCTTTCTTTATTTCTCTTCCTCTGCGGAATCAACAAACAAACAATGTCGAAAAATACGGCTTTCGCGGCGTTTCGCACGCCCACTATAAGCTCGTCATTTTCCTTTGGCCTTTTACTCCGCTAATTGAAGAGTTCCTTCCCTTTTGCACATAACGCACCGCTAACTCTTTTGTCAGCCGGCTCGTTTCTCTCGCGTTTACATCGTCGCCGTCGCGGAATTGTTTATCCGTCGCGATAGCGATGCATACATTATATCTGCCGCGATATGAAGGGAATATAATTTTGTGAGACTCTACCATGTTCGCGCGCGGTGTGTTTCAAAGGCGACCCTCTGTCACTGCCGACTGTATAATCAACAGGCAAATATTTTCTTTCTGTAAAATCTTGTCGCCCGCCGCTTTCTCGTGGCCGTTGGCTTTCGCTAAATATTGGCTTTCGAAGAATTAGCCAACAGTGGCTCGCAGTCACGGTAGAAAATTCGGCTGATATGAAAACGAAAAAAAAAGAAAAAATAGAAAAGGAACGAGCAACATTGAAGGAAAAGAAAATTTGTGTGATTTTTTTTAACTGCGCGCCACTATAAGCTGAGTTCTGATACGCACTGCCAATACTGAAAATCTATAGTATACGTGACAAATGAATTTTTCAAAACGTAGCATATGATAAGAAAAAATGCAACTTAATATTTTTTAATAACATAATAATATAATCCTGTTATACTCCAAAATGTATAAATTTAAATTATGTATAAAACATTATAAATATTTAATATTTGCATAGGCACTTAATTAAAATAAAATAAGATTGTTTAATAACGTTAATATACATACGGCAATAAAAAGAAAAATCTTATCGTTGTTTATCTTGTACAAAACAAATTGCGATGCAGTTGTGGAGGATGCAGCAAATGCATTAAACAATTTGTAGCATCTTTTAGCTGAAAATAATTAGGGAAACTTGAGGTATAACGGGATCAGCATAATAGGATATGGTCGATAACTTTTTACAGAGGTGTTGCTAATATAATAAAATGTTTTGCAATTATTACTGTTAGATGTCTCTGTTAGTATCAGTACTGTTATTAGTTGTTATATTATTTTTAGCTGAAAGATGCTACAAATTGTTTAATTGCAGCGTCCTCTGCAATTGCATTGCAATTTGTTTGGTACATTTGCACAAGGTAAACAATAAGATTCCTCTTTTTATTATCGTATGTATATTAACGTTATTTTTCTCGTTATCTTAATTAAGTATCTGTGCAAATATCAAAATATACTATCTATGATATTTTGTACTACATAATCTTTTATACATTTCGGATTATAACAGGATTACGTTATTAAAATATTAAATTATATTATATTTTATCATATGCTATGTTTCAGAAAATTGATACCAAAGATTACAATATCAAATAATAATTATTAATATTTTGATAAAAATAATATTTTAATAAGAAAAAGTAATATTTTAATATTAATATTTTAATAAGAAAAGGAATATAACTTTATCGTTTTACAAGAAAAGTATCGTTAATAAATAATTATGAGAAATTAAACGTGCTATAATATATTTTTATACGTTATATATTTTGATAAAACACTTTTAAAAACCTTTTAAAATTAATGATTGAACAACAACCAAGTTTTGTGAAGTACTTTATTCTTCCCCGCGTAAGAAGCATAATGAAGTTAATTCACTTGTTTTTGGGAGTATTCTACCATTAGAAAAGACAGATGAATTCAAAAACTCATCCCAAAAATTACAGATAAC